AGCAGTCCCTATTCTCATCTGTGTGATCTTGGGTCAATGTGAAATGATCCCTCAGTTTTCTTATCTGTAAGGTGTGGATAACAATACCTACTTTGTACCACAAGTGATAGGATACATTCTAATGGGTGTAGAGAGAAGAGCACATAATATGCACTTAATAACTGGTTTGTAACAAATTTGCCCACTAAACAAACAAAGTACTCAGGGCATTATGAAGCAAGAGCAGTCAGGATATGGAATTCAGAGAGGTCTGGGCATATGAACAGGGAAAAGACCTATGCCTTTATTTTCACTTACCTTTAACTTAATTTGAACATGTCCTTCAATTATTAACCTAGGCAAGAAACCACAATAATATGATTAGTACAATGTCAACAATAAAGACTTTCATATCACATTACATTTGTTTCACATTTCTCAAAGTATCCTTTATGCTCATCACTATTTTGAAATTATGATAGTTATGTTTCTTCTACTAAGGCCAAATGGCCTTGACCTGTTGTTCTTTATACATTAACCCACAACAGTGGTTCTCAAAATCTGGTCCCTATACCAGCAGCATCAACATTCAGCACCAGCATTAGGTGGTTAATTGTCAGAAAAGAAAGTATTGGGCCTCACCGTAGTTACACAGCTAGCAGTCAGCATTTCCATCTATGTTGGCTAACCCAGAAATAAGCAAGTCTTTCTTTAGCCATGGCTGAGCAAATGCCTTTACCTAGAGAAAAAAATTTCCTTCATAAATTAGTCAATAGTTCCAAAGAGGTTTCCCTCCAGGTACTTCTACATGATTGAGATTTGAACATGTTTTCCAACTATACTTCCACAGGACACCTTTCTTATCAGGTGGTGTCTTTATAACAAAGGGGCAGGGTTAGGAGAGGGTGAGGGGGGCTGGGTCAGGGTCCAAACTGAAGGACCCAAAAAGACCCTCCTTAAGAGAGTCTGGGTCCGGGCACCTGGGAGGCTCAGTCGGTTAAGTGTCTTCCTTCAGCTTAGGTCATGATCCCAGAGTCCCAGGATTGAGCCCACATTGGGGAGTCTGCTTCTCCCTCTGACCCTCCCCCATCTCATGCTCTGTCTCATTCTCTCTCTAATAAATAAATTAAATCTTTAAAAAAAAAAGAAAGAGAGAGGGTGCCTGGGTGGCTCAGTCATTAAGCGCCTGCCTTCGGCTCAGGTCACGATCTCAGGGTCCTGGGATTGAGCTCCACATCGGGCTCCCTGCTCAGCGGGGGGAGCCCACTTCTCCCTCTCCCACTGCCTGCCGCTCCCCCTGCTTGTGCTCTCTCTGTCAAATAAATAAAATCTTAAAAAAGAGAGAGAGAGAGAGGCTGGGTCCAGGGGCACCTGGGTGGCTCAGTTGGTTTAGCATCCAACTCTTGATTTCAGCTCAGGTCATGATCTCAGGGTCATGAGATCCAGCCTAGAATTGGGCTCTGAGCCCCACTTTGGGCTCCAAGCCCAGTGTGGAGCCCACTTAAGATTCTCTCTCCCTCTGCCCCTCCCCCCTTCTCTCCATGCTCTCTCTCAATACATACATACATACATACATACACACATACATAAGAGGCTGGGTCCAGCAGGGCCCTGTCTGTATAGGGCTGCTGTATTCTGAGGGACACCCTCCAGATCTGGGGGATCAGAGAAGGCCTCCTGGAGGAGGGAACACTTGAGCTAGGTATAAAACAGGGGGAAATCAGGAGGGTGACCAGATCCTTGGAGATGGGTCCAGACAAAAGTCAACTCTGGGGATGGAATTGGGGCAGAACCTCTGGGGTTACTTCAGGGAATCCTGATGACCTGCCCCCTCTCCCTGTTGTATCCCTCAGGGCTATATTGTCAGGAAGTGGATTAGAATCACAAGGTTTGGTCTGGGTAGAACAGGCTAGTTTGTGGAGGCAATGACTGGCTGTTTTTCAGGTAAGGGTGGCACTGCTGGGACTTACAGGGCCACTAAGCTCTCTCCTTATCCCACTCCAGATTTTGGCCAAAGGAGGACACACAAAACAAAAGGTAACTCAGATGGAGGGAAGTGAGGGAGATAAGAGGGACTTCCTCTCAAGCCACGAGAGGCCTTCACCTTCCCCTATGCCACTCAACCACTTACCAGCAAGAGGGCATGCCATTTCCTCTCTCTGACCCTGCCTTCCCTCAAAATCCTCCTGGGTATTCAGTGGAGACTCCATTTCTGCTTCTTTCAACTACTGCCTCCTTGTATGTGTGCTCTTCCATACTCTGGTACAATCTGTCTAAATCCCAAGTTAAAATCTCTAATATTATACAAAGCCAAGTTCCATGGTGTTGGAAAACTCTGCTATCCTTGCTATTATTATTACTTAACTAAAAGTCCTTTGGAAACTCTAGAGGAAGACAAACTAATCTGCCAAAAGGCATATTGGTTTAAATAGGTCATCCCAACTCCTGAGGCTCCTCTAATGAAAGCTTAGTCACATCCAGAGAAACTGAAAATTCTACCCTGAAAACAGTAAGCCTTCCCTCTCTGGTGTGAAGTTATGGCAGTTAAAGCCATGAGAGTAGCAGTGGGCTTTCCAGTCAGCCACATGGTCATTAGCTGACTTGGGGGTCAAGTATCTATGAACTGGAAACCTCATTAGGATTTCTGCTAAGTTCATGGTAAGAACTGCTAACAGGTCAAACCAAACCTTTTCTTACTTAGGGAAACTGAATTGTAAAAATGATATGTAGCTTGCTTAAATTTACAAACACAATAATGGTGGGAAAGTATAAGAGCATTGCTGTCTTGTCTCCCAGGCAAATATTCCCGCAAACATTCATCTGAAGACTAACTCTCATTTAATCGTCTCAACCTATAGTCACTCTGGGCTACAGGACAGTTATGGTGGTTTTTCTCTCCAAGATCATGATAATCTGTGCGCGCTCTGAAAATTCATATAGATTATTGAATCTCTTTGATGTCCTAAAATCGCTGACATTCATTTTGGGAAGGAACCTAGGATACCACCCCTGCGCCTGAGAGAACTGAATCTTAATCCTGAGGTTTAGAAAGGAGGTGCCTGACTGTTCCAGAGAGATTAAATGTAGCATTAAACATCTTCACTGATGAGCAGGAATATCTTTGGGATTGGACAGGAAGGGCAAGAAGCCCTAGAGATAGCAGCTTTCACGGGGGTTGTGGCCTTGGATGCTGTGGTCTGTTAAAGAGAAGGAAAAATCTCCTGGGCTATGAATTCCTGGAGGACACAAATAATTTTTTCTGTATTTCTCACAGCACAACCTAGCACAGTAAGACAGTTATGGGATCCATGTACACTTGTTGTGTGGGTGTTCCCAAACATGAACTGTTTAGGAGGGATAATCTGGTGAACTGAGCAATAACTCTGAGAGAATTTGGAAAGACACAAGTGTTCTCTTTTTCTCTACTGTAAGTATCAGGCATTGCGCTACAGGCAGATTTTAAGATGGGAACTGAGACACAGATGTGAAACGGGTGCCACAAAGATCCTTTATATATACTATGATTTAGTGTTCATAACAGGTTAGGATTATTATTCCTACTTTTGTTTAACAGACGACACAGCTAAGGCTCAAGGAGGTTAAGTGTTTGATCTGAGCTCACACAGCCTAGTGAGTGCCTGGGCTCTCCTATCTTGAGTCTGAAGCCCTTACTAATGCTTCCTCTCACCACACTCCAGAATAATATTCCTCTCTCAACTCCCAGAGATCAGATTTTGATGGGTCCGAGGGATTTGTGCCAGAGAGTTGCCATCCTTGCAACCACCCAACCCCCACTCTAATGAATCTCCTCCCCCCCCCCCCCCCCCCCCCGCTGCGGAGTGCTGGCCTGGAGCCAGGTGAGACCAGAACCTCCATTTCAGGGGCTTTCTCTAGAATCTGTCGCTGTGGTTACCTCCAGTAGAATCTGTTTCAGGAAGAGGTCTGACCAAACAGGACAGCGGTGACATTCATGACTGCAGGAGAGAAGAATCCGGGGCTGGGGGCCACACGTCGAGAGGGGAGGGGCCAGGGGGCGGCCCCCTTGTGACCAGCCCTGAGGAGAGGTCAGGAAAGAACGTTGGCTGAGGAGCGCCTGTACAGCAGCAGCTGCTGACGTTCTGTATCACGAGCCTGTGGCCCAAGGTAACCCAGACCTTTAAACAAACAGCGGGGCCGGGGGCGTTGCGGGGACGGAGGCGGGAAAGGGCAGAGACTTTGGGGGTCGCACACTTAAGACAGGGGCGGTGAACGCGTGGAGGGCATGAGAAGGAGTCCGAATTCTCTGAGAAATAGGGAATGAAGGAAACAAGAAACGAAGTGTGAGAAGGAACACAAGCGCGAAAAGAGCATGAGAGGGCGCAAGAGCTTGGCTGACCAAAAGTGCGCTTGGAGGTAGGGGCAAGGGTGGAACACACCCAGCCCCAGCAGCATAGGTAAGGTGGGAGCAGGAGGACACTTTCTTTCCCTGAGCCCATTTTCCATAGGTGGTCCCCTTTTAGCCATTTTTAAGGTAAAATGTTGGCCCCAGTTATTTTTGCTTGTTTGTTTCGGGGTTTTGTTTTGTGTGTTTCTTTTGTTTGTTGTTTTTTGTTTTTTTTTTTAGAATATAAGGAAAGAACGTCAGAGGAAGCTACTAAAGCGAGGCTGCGCAGGGCGCAGGAAAGGCAGAGGGTGGCGCCTTTTTTAAAGAAGATTCTATCTTCACCCTAAAGCTCAGGCCGTACACACACACACACACACACACACACACACACACACACACGTTTTCCTCCCTCTGTCCGCCTCCTATTCCCCCACCCCAGCCCCCCTCCTGGCACGATCGGATCGCCTTTAAACCAGGTAACCGCCTTGGTCTCCACAGCAGCTCCCGGAGCTCCAGAGTGGAGGGGGGTGGAGCACGCAGCGGCCTCTGGCTGAGCTCAAGGTGGGAGGGGTCCCGGGGGCGCTAATGGCGCACCGCGGCCATGACGCTGGCCAGATCGTTCACAGAAATCCCTGTCTCGTTCCATCTACAGTTGCAGCTCCATTCCAGACGCCCTTCTTCTCAGGCCGGGCGGTGAGCTGATGGCCCAAGTTCGGGACTCGCCCTCCGGCTCTTTGGTCCGCTGGAGCTCGGGAGGTGGGGGAGGAGCCTCTCCCGAGGAGGCGGCTGAAAAGGCGGGGGAAATGAAGAAGGAGGCGGTGGGGGCGGCAAAGGCGTGTTCAGGCCAGGGAGCTGAGGAGATGAAGCTGGAGCCGTTACAAGAGAGTAAGCCTGCTCCTGAGAACTTGACGTGGAGTGACAGCGGCGACGATAAGAAGGTGCTCCCCTCAACCCCCCCTCGCTGTTACAGCAGCTCCTCGCCCCTTTGCCCGGGCCGCAAGCCCCGCCCTCGGCTCCCGCCCCGGGCCCGCTCCCGAGGCCCTCCTGGCCTCTTGGCCCCACCCCAGCCTCCATCCCATCCTCCCCCTCCGCCTCTGACCCGACCCCAGCCCTGGCGCAGACCGCGGCGTAGATCCAGGCCGGGGTGTAGGCCCCAGATGCTGCACAGCTGTTTTAGTGACCTAGGTGGCTCTGGGGATCGAGGTGGTTTAGGGGACTGGTTGCTGGAGGTGGAATTTGATCAGGGACCTACAGGCTGCTCTCATGTGGAGAGCTTTAAAGTGGCTAAGAACTGGCGGAAGAACCTGAGGTTGATTTACCAGCGTTTCATATGGAGTGGGACCCCAGAAACTAGGAAACATAAGGCAAAGTCGTGCATCTGTCATGTATGTAGTACCCATATGAACAGACTCCACTCTTGTCTCTCCTGTGTCTTTTTTGGCTGCTTTACTGAGAAACATATTCACAAACATGCAGAAACAAAACAGCACAATTTAGCTGTAGACCTCTATCATGGGGTTATATATTGCTTTATGTGTAAGGATTATGTATATGACAAAGACATGGAACGAATTGCCAAAGAAACAAAAGAGAAAAATTTGAAATTACTAACTTCCACCTCAACAGATGTTTCTCAACAGCAGTGTATGGCATCAGGTGTTGAAGAGAAGCATTCAACCTGTGAGTCAAAGGAACAGGAGCCAAAATTGGTGAAACCCAAGAAAAAGAGGAGAAAAAAGTCAGTCTATACCGTAGGCCTGAGAGGGCTAATCAATCTTGGGAACACATGCTTTATGAATTGTATTGTCCAGGCACTTACCCATATTCCTCTATTGAAAGATTTCTTTCTCTCTGACAGGCATAAATGTATAATGACAAGCCCCAGCTTGTGTCTTGTCTGTGAAATGTCTTCTCTTTTTCATGCTATGTACTCTGGGAGCCAAACTCCTCACATTCCCTATAAGTTATTGCATCTAATATGGATTCATGCAGAACACTTAGCAGGGTACCGGCAGCAGGATGCCCATGAGTTCCTCATTGCAATATTAGATGTGCTGCATAGACACAGCAAAGATGATAGTGTTGTGCAGGAGCCCAGTAACCCCAACTGCTGTAACTGCATCATAGACCAAATCTTTACAGGTGGCTTGCAGTCAGATGTCACATGTCAAGCTTGCCATAGTGTCTCTACCACAATAGACCCATGCTGGGACATCAGTTTGGACTTGCCTGGCTCTTGTGCCACATTCGGTTCCCAGAGTCCAGAAAGAGCTGACAGCACAGTGAGTAGGGATGACCACATACCAGGAATTCCCTCACTCACAGACTGCCTACAGTGGTTTACAAGGCCAGAGTACCTAGGAAGCAGTTCCAAAATCAAATGTAGTAGTTGCCAAAGCTATCAGGAATCTACCAAACAACTCACAATGAAGAAATTACCTATTGTGGCCTGTTTTCATCTCAAGCGATTTGAACATGTAGGTAAACAGAGGCGAAAGATTAATACTTTTATCTCCTTTCCCTTGGAGCTGGACATGACTCCATTTTTGGCCTCCACTAAGGAGAGCAGAATGAAAGAAGGCCAGCCACCAACAGACTGTACATCCAATGAGAATAAGTATTCCTTGTTTGCAGTGATTAATCACCATGGAACTTTGGAAAGTGGACACTACACCAGCTTTATCCGACAACAAAAAGACCAATGGTTTAGCTGTGATGATGCCATCATCACCAAGGCTACCATTGAGGACTTACTCTACAGTGAAGGGTATTTACTATTCTATCACAAGCAGGGTCTAGAGAAAGATTAGTCTTGCAAGACCACTTACCAAAAAAAAAGTGAAAGAAATGAATATACACGGATCCAGAAGTGACACACAAACTTCCCTGGAATGGACGATGATAATACCCAAACAACAATAAGCACCTCTTGAAATTTCACAAAAACCTACCTGGCATGTACAATGACAACAGCACCTATATGACAAGTAGCACCTTGATACGAAGAACCTATTTTACATGGCTTGTGGGTCTGTAAGAGGAAAAGAAAATACTAACTAGTGACCATTCAGCCTTAAGAAATGGGAGGAGGGAGAAGAGGTTGAAAATGGTCACATAAAGCATAATTAAATGAACAGAATGCTTTAGGTGGGAAGAGTGGGAATGGAGATGTTCTGCGAGTGCTATATGTCATTTGTTTCTACAAAAATACCATGGGAAATCAGGGAGTATTCCTATATTACCAAAAAACTTCACAATTAGTGTTTTAGCTGTGGCTGATTAGTCAAATATTTTGAAAAAAGAATATTGTAAAAGAGATTTTAAAAAGCCTTAAAACATTTAAAAAGAAAAAAACCTTTTTTTAATTTTAAAATAAAATGTTTTAAATGTTGAAAAAAATTAAGTTAAATATTTTTAAAAGAAACGTTTCAAAATTTAAAAGTTGTTAATTTAAAATTTCAAAATGATTAATAAAATAAGGCTTAAAATAAATTTTAGAAATTCTTAGTTTACAAAAGGTAAAATGAATAAAAGAAGGACAAAGATAAAAAATAAAAGTTTACAAAAAAGTTAAAAGTGAAAGAAAGTTTTAAAAGGGGAGGGGAGCTCTTAAAAGTTTAAATAAAATGTTAATATAAATAACTCTTTAAATTAGACCATAAAATATATGTATTGAAAAATGAGAGGTTAGCAAAATTCATGAACAGTTTAAGAAAATTTCCAAAAATACAGAATGGAATGAAAATTCAAATTTAAGTTTACAGAAAAGTTTTAAAGGAAAAAAAATTTAGCACAATTCAAGACAGACACAATTTGTTTAATTTTTTTAATTTAAAAACATTTAAAAAGGAAAAGTTAAGAGAAAAATAGAGAATTTTAAGATATATAAATAACTTTAAGGAAGTCCAACCTGTGAGATTTAAATAAAAACTAAATATTTAAACAAGAAGGATAAAAATAAAAATTTTTAAAGAAAAACATTTAAAAATAAAAATTAAATTAAAAACAAGTAGAAAAATATTAATATTTTAAAAACTTAAACAGTTTTATTTTTAAATTTAAGCATATTAAAATTCATACAGGTATGAAAACTAAAAGGAGATAGGAATAACAAGACAAAAAGGCTTGTTAATATTTGTTTGAGTTTTATGTTGATACATAAATAGAATTTGAAAAAAAATAGTCAACCATCATTTTACTACTCAATTGTGAGATCAGTGCAAGGCCTAAACTCTAGCCTACCTTCACTTTTCAAGTTCCACACCCCATCTGATTTCTAAAGAGCTGTTTCTTAGGAAGAATCAACTGCATCCGAGAAAGATAAAAATAGTAGGGACTCTCTACCATTTAGAACTGCATTATTCATACAAATTCTTTGCTACTGAAAAGCGGTTCTTAACAATTTAGTGGCTTAGGGATATTAGATTACAACTTAAGTTCTGGCTTTGATGTTCAAGCCCCATGGCCTGATTGAAGGAAGTGGCAGGGACCCATATCTGAGGACATCCCACCCTCTCTTCCACTTCCCTCTCCATGGAGAAACAAGACCTTTATATAGTAAAGCTTTGGGTTTGTGCTTGACAGTCTCACTCATTCCTTTACTCCCTCTTTTTTCCTTATTCCATCATTCATGCCTGGTTCCCTGAACCGCTTACTTACCTCCATCTCTGATCCCAGCCTGTAGAGCTCCTTCTTTGACTGTTTACCTGGTAGCTTCTATTCCTCCTTCAAGACCCAACTCACAGATAACTTCTCTGGAGACTTTTCTGAATGCTCTAGGCAGGTATAAGTTGGAAAATTGTTTCTTCCTCACACCTATATCCCTGTCACTGTGCCTCAAAGTACTTTGTACCTCAGTAATATTCTACTGTGATTCTACTGGAGCTTTGTGATTGTCTGCCCCTCTGCACTAAGCATTCTGAGAACAGGGGGCCAAGCCTTATTCATTTCTGTGTTAATAAATGTTTGTTGAATGAGGATGAGTTCAGTTATTTGCTCTATTAATATGATCTCACTTATTTTATCACTTATTTTATCCACCAAGCCCTCAATAAGTGTCCTGTGCTATAATACAGTGTGATCAGGGTTGAATCTTCCCCAAAGGAAGTGTATGAAATGCTACTCAGCTGCAGGGGATGGCTTAAGAAGAGAGGTGCTCAGTGAGGAAATAGCCAGGTTGTGTGGAGAGAGTACAAGGTACAACACAAGGAAAAGAGCAAAGCGTGAGAGTTGGTAGTCATGAAAGACTGGGTAGAGGGGGAGCAGAAGCTGAAGATGAGGCTGGGCTTTCTGGTATGTGTGCAGCAACGCTGTTCCTCACCAGTGTCCCTGAGCTCCCCACAGTGTCTCTCTTATGACTGTGTACCACACCTCCCCATGGTGTACTGTACTAGTTTGCCTTCCCAGGAGATTGTGTGCCTCACCATTCCACACTGTTTTATATCATATGGCACACCATGACTGACAGGGGAATGATGTCTGGAATGATGTCTGGTGACTGTATTTAGTGGGGGAGCTGTAGTTGTCTGCTTAGCACTCTAGCCCTTCCCCCATTCCTTGTGGTTCTGCTGGGGCTATTGACCACCTTGCAGTGCTTCTCTCACTCCTGCCCAGAGTGAGCATGTCCCACAGGCTAGACCAGATAAGAGTTCTCAATTCCTCCACTCCTTCACCCACACCCATCCCACAAGAGCAATTCTGAGGATGGCTATAGAACCCAAGCAGGCCCAATCAGAGTCCATTGCTAGATTGAATATATGTAGACAGTGGGAGAAAGAAGTGTCTAAAGAAAGAAGACTCCATGCTGAAGTCTCTAGACTAGGATGACATTAATCTGAGAATCTTAGGGGTTTGATATTCTTACCATGAGGAGAAAAGTAGAATTAGAGATAGGGAGAAAGAGCCTGGAGAACATAATTTGAAACTTGTGGATCCGGATATGCCTGAAGTCCCAAAGTTCCTAGCTATTCGAGCCAATAAAGTCCTTTGTTTTGCTTAAGCTAGTTTGAGTTGGGATCCTGTCACTTGTAGCCAAGTGTTTTGAACACATTAGATATGCTATATGGTTAAGTTGGGGGCGTCCTGTTCCTAGGGCCACAAACGGAGAGAAGGAAGAAGGAAGAGAATGGTGACCTTCAGTGAACTCTGTCATAGAAGATTGAGAAACCAGAGAGGGTCCCTCCATGTCTTTAGCTCAGCTACTGACCTGTGCTAGGCTTCAAACCTTACTCACAACAATGATGTGAGTATTCCCAATCAAAGAGATAATAAGGCAATCATGTTTCATGAGTACCATGAATAGGTAGGCCAGGCACTATGGTGACGGCTTTACCTCTATTATCTCACTGAATTGGCACAGCAATCCTGGAAGACAATCATTCCTGAACATATTTCACAGATTGGGAAAGTAAGACTCAGAATGGAAAAGTGGTTTGCTTAAGTTCACTTTACTGTTTTAAGCAGTGGGGCCAGTATTCAAACCCAGGTCCCCAAAGCTTGTGTGTATTCTATTATAATTCAGTACAGGTAATTCAAAGATGTTTTTGTTTTGCTTTTCCTGATGTTGCTATGGAAGACACAATAGACCAAAATGGCACAGAAGGCAGACAGCCTTTGACAAACCTGGATGCAGATAACCTGGAACTTGGAGAGTAATCTATCAACTGATAACACAAAATTACCCATGCTCCAGGTGAATATGTCTCTGTGGCAATAGCTGGTTAGGATAGTCACATCAGGCTAAATGACTTTCTTAAGCTTAGATACCCAGAATGGATGAGGCCAAAATTCTACTCCATTACCAGACATATAGCTTCACTCAATGCCAAATGCTTGCCTTTTTACAGTCTGTGAAACCATCAGCTCTCTCTAGTTACACCAGGTTTCCTTTCTAGCTTCAATACTGTGACCAATGCTTTGTTAATCACCTTCACCACTGACCTTCCCCCTGGTCTTTTCAGAGTGCCCACAATGCCAGCTCCTCAACCATAGATCCTTCCCACCTGCCTATTGCAGAGGGACTTGTCTATTAGGATCTATTTCCTAGGTGGTCTGATACCGACTTGCAATGTCCAATTCTGTTGTTTCTACACTATTTTCAGTTCCTTATCTTTATTCCTTCCAAACATACAATTATATCTACTCTGGGCCAGGGCTGGAACTATGTGTCTGTAAACCCCTCAGGCCAATCACACTATATGGTAGGTTCTTAATAGGCTAGCTGAATGAATGCACAAATGAATAAACAAAATGAATTCCATCCTACACTCAGCTTTAGTAGTTAACTTCCTATCTTATTTTTTCTGAAGTCAAAATACTTGTAAGAGTGCCTGATTTACCTATACCACCCACAACAACACACTTCTATCTCCATCTATCCTCCACACCTTCACTCTACTTTTAGAGAAGGAATCCTGCTTTCTTTTGGATGCTGTACCACTAGCCTTCTCTGACCCATTCCTGACAGCCAAGAGGCCTTACTCCCACACTTTCCCCAGTATTCCAGCAACTGCCATGTTTCCTCTAGACATAATATTCAGCAATTAGATATCCTAGGTTTTCTACAATGGTTCTTCAAAAACTTTCCCCATCATTCCTATAAGATATAAGGAGTGTTCCTCAATTCCCAATGCTTCCTCCTAGAGTGTATATTGTCACAGAAGAGACCAGTCTGTTGTAAGGTCCTGACTTGGGGTTCATGTTTAAAACAAAAATTCATAACCTTCACACGATAACTGCTGTCTGTGGTATTATTTATGTCCTTCCTTTCACTGTCAAGCTCTTCTACATGTGTTTATCTTACATCATTCCCACTTACCTCTTACATCACTTTTAGTTCCCCACATAACTTCTGCCTATATGACTCTATTAAAACTACTCT